TATAAACTTGCAAAAGTGAGCACAGCAATGCCTTAATCATATGTATCATACTAGTCTGACTTCTAGGATGTTTACTTCAAGAGTATTGCTTGGCTCGGTGTTTATAGCCTCAAAAAATTTGAATCTCATTTCTAGAAGTCAGTCTATAACTTGAAATAAGATGACAATGCTTTCTCAAAACAAACAAACAAACAAACAACCCCAACAGAAAACACCATTTCCCTTAGATTTACTTATAACCTCCGAGAAGCAAGGACTTTGCTTGTTTGTTTGTTTTAAAAATCTTGGGAATGTGGGGATAGGATGAGTTCAGTTCTACATAAATTTAACAGGTCCGAAGACGTAAGTCCAAATAGATGGTTTTGCCTTAGCTGGTGAGGATGCCGGGGCTGCTTCCTTTGTTGGTGCTGACATCACTGAAGCAGTAGAAAGGCCACTGCTTTCCTTTTTAAAGTTCCAAATTCACCCTTTAGAGTAGGTTAACACTTTGCAAATGTCAGATTTACAGTTTCTGGTGAACAGCGAAGAAAGTCCAAGAGCCTGTAAGAAATTAGAGCTGAATGGTGAGCACAGCACCAGGTGTAGAGTCACTGAATCACTGGGTCGTACACCTGAAACTAATGGAACCGTGTGTCAACTCTACTTCCATGAGGGGAGGGGGTCAGAAATTAGAGCTGTAAATCAAATTTCTTTACTATATCTTAGCTCTTAAGATACATCATATTTCAAAGATTCTAACATTTACATTTCTTTTTACATTTTCACATTTCTGGAAACAGGTTGTGTCTTGTGGTTCTGATGTCCTTGTCATTGCTAGTCCACGTGCATAAAAACTTACAGTATGAATATCAGCAACTTGGAATAAAATTGCAGAGACGATACTGTAGGACCAGCACTCTTGATAGCACAGATAATAGTATTGTGTGGGAAACATGGTCATCCATGACTCTGAGTTGAACATGTTTGGAAATACTGGATTTGGGATGGGAGTAAGCTTTAGGAATACCCTAACCGATTTGTTTTGCTTATACTTTATTGTTTTTCTAAGATTTTATTTATTTATTTGAGAGAGCTCGAGCACACATGCACGTGAACAGGGAGCAGGGGGAGGGGCAGGGGTAGGGAGAGGGACAAGCAGACTCCTGCCTGAGCCTGGAGCTCAATCTGGGGCTGGATCCCATGAGCCCCAGACCATGACCTGAGCCCAAACCAAGAGTCCTCCGGATGCTTAACTGACTGAGCCACCCAGGCGCCCCTCTTACAGTTTCATTTTTATATAGATTCAAGCAGGGCATAAGATAAAAACCTATACCTCAGTAGGTATTATAAAGCTCTTTCAGTAAGTATGTAGTGAAAGTTCTGAGCTACAAAAAACACGTGTTATAACTTGTGTAGCTTTGTTTTTATTCCTTTCTTTGTGGTACATACAATAATGTCATCCTTGCAATCATTATGGTATTATGATTTTGAGGTGAACACAGATCATGAGATTTTAGAATTTTTGATTTGCTAATTTTAAAGAAGTTTTTACTGTTGCTATGTCTTTTAAAGTGGTGAAATGAGTCATATATCAAAGGAGGCATTGAAGCATTTCTTTGAAAAATACAATTTTACAGGACTTAATCCATCCTTTCATTTTCATAATTAACATTCTTTTGGAGAACTACTATCAAATACGTTCTTTAAAAGTGAACTTCAAAGTCTAACTTTGGGCCATAAGTAAACTACTCTGCCTTGTTTATTATAGACAATCATCGTTGAGGGTTTTGAAGTTTAGTTTGGAAGAGGATTTAGCACTCTGCAAGTTTATATTTAAGATTGCAATATTGACTGATTGTCTTTCTGAGAATGTAATAGACATAATAAATTGCTTGCAACACTTAATATTTTCAGAGTGTTTGCCATTACCGTACTTGATGATTATTATTAAAAAAAAAAATCTCTCTGATCCCCCCGTTCTGAAAAGGAAACCAAAATTACTTCTCAATCCCTTCACTGTCTACATATAATCTCTGATTTAGTATCACTAACCCAATACAGCAACACCTCATTTTCCCAGCATTGCTCAAGAAAAGTTTGTTCCATGCCAGTACACTTCCCAGATATCCGAAGAATATGCATTTAAATGACAAGCCTATTTTTTTTTTTTTACTATTTCTGATAGAAATATTTCTACAACACACTGTTATTCTTATATAGAGAATACTGAAAAAAATCTCTAAAATTTTGTGCTTCGTGGCAATCTCAAGAGACTGCTTTATTCGTTGATGGGTCTTCAGCACACAGTAAAGAATGGAATAAGAGGAAGCAGTTAGTGGACGTGGACTACACTCAAAACTCAATGAACTTCTTTTTCGTAGAACACGGGGACTCATTTTTGCGAATATCAGTTACAGCAGATGGCCTGCTCCACCTGGCCCAGCAGGCTATGTGCACAACCTCGGCGCCCCCCCACCCCCACACCCCCACCTCCCGGGTTCGGTCACGGTGTAGGCGCAGGACTGCATATACTTTTCTCCAGAGGGCCGCGTCCATAATCTCAGTGCGCTATTTGAGAGTTCCAACGTATAATGAGTAATAATCGAATTAAGCATCACCTCACTCTAAGTTAGGAAACACGACTTTCTTCTTTCTAGTCATGGCACAACTATTCACTTAGCCATCCAATTTTGAAATCTTGGCATAGTCTCTGATTTTTTCTGTTTCCATCTTCCAGCTAGGTCAGTTGTACTGCTGCTTTTCTCTTTATGTCTCTACTATTAACACCCTTTTGACTTTTACTTTGTATTTCTTACCCTATTACTGCTTTTACCTAGAATATTCTAGTTTGTCATATGCTTGATCTTTAGGCCTCCAGTCTCTTCAATTTCCAGTGTATTAGGTACAGAACTGACTGATCTTTATCAACGAGAGGTGTTTCCCTGTTCAAAAATCTCCAGTGGTTCCCTATTTTTGTTAAAAAAAATTTTTTTAACCAAATAATGAAAGACAATTACCAGCAGAGGCTGAGTTCTGTTGGGTCACATATGGATAAAAGGATATATAATTGTTTTGACATTAAGCACGACAATCCCTTCTGATCAATCACCTGTATGGCAATCTGCTCTAACATCTCCTTGGTCTTTAGGATTGAATGTATCGAATACATCAATTTTCATTTCCAGGATAAATTATTGGAAAATCTCTACACACTCTTCTGAAACCGTTCAAGAGATTCGTTGATGTTTTGAAATTTATCTACAAATACTGAGGACATACCTGGACATTTTTTGAGCAACTCGATATATCACTGAATTTTTTTGAAGTCCTTGATACTTTAAAAAATATATATTTAAAAAATTTTACCCCACTTTATTGAGAGGGAATTGACATATAACATTGTGTAAGTTTAAGGTATACAGGGTGTTGATTTAATAAACTTGTGTATTACAAAATGATTATGACTAAGTCATAATCCTATGGCTAACTCCTCTGTCCTGTCACATAATTACCATTTCTTTTTTGTAGTGAGAACATTTAAGAGTTACTCTTTTACCAACTTTAAAGTGTATTATTAGCTATAATAATATAAATATAAACATATATAATACAAAGTATTATTAGCTGTAATCACCATGTTATACATTAGAGCCCCAGAACTTGTTAATCTTAGTTTTTTTCAAAATTTTATTTTTTTATTTGAGAGAGACAGAGATAGCGAGAGAGAGCAAGAGCGAGGAGAGAGGGAGAAGCAGGCTCCCTGGCAGGCTCCCCACTGAGCAGGGAGCCCAATGCCGGGACCCCGGGATCATGACCTGAGCCAAAGGCAAATGCTTAACCCACTGAGCCACGCAGGTGCCCCTGAACTTGCTAATCCTGTAACTGGAAGTTTATACCCTTTAATCAATTATCTTTGCATATCTCCCACTTCTAAGCTACTGATAACCACCATTTTGAATACTTCTCAGTGTGTATTCATTGTATTCATTCTTATACTTAGTTGTTTGTCACAATTTTAACTGAGATGGTATTATGTGCCAATGTGCCCAGTGTCATAGATGTGATGGTACACAAACACAGGATTTTTATCTTTATCTAAACTATGGACTACTAGCTTTCTTCACCATTTGGTGTTGAAATTTACGTTTTCTTTGCATATTCTATTTGTAGAATTTGAAGATCATTTTCCTGGCTGGAGAAAAAGAAATTCTAATGTTTGTTAGCAAATTGCTCTCTTCCCCAAGCAGTACGGTTCTTCTTTTCCTGCCTTTTCTTTTCTCATTGCCTAAAATATGATGGAAGAGTATTTTATATTGTCCTAAGTATTTTTCACAAGTCTCGGCTCATTTTGAACGTAGCACTTTTGACACTGATTTAAAACATACTATATATACGGCTGTGCATGTTTTTTAACTTTACAGTATCTGGTATTTTTCCATTTAATTAAATATATTTTGAAAACATAATATTTAATGTCTGTTTAATAGTCCATCTTATTTAACTATCCCATATTTTGGGCTATTTGGTTTGAGTCCAGGTTTTTTTTTTTGGTTGTTCTGCAACTTTAAATAATGCTTCTATGAACATCCTGGTACATAATTCTTTGCCTGTGCTTCTGATGATTTCCTTATGTTGTACTCTTGCCTCCAAATACTGTCCATGTCTTGGGCCCAGGGACTAAGCAGACTGGCTGTTTTTCCAATCTATGTCCAGTGAATATATTTTTTACTCAATGATCTTTAGAACTCTTTTGATGGCTGACCAGATGGAGTGTTGCCCAGTGTGCCGCAAGATCTTCCATAAACCCCTTTAACTTACCCCTTGCAGCAGGCTAGGACCCCTGTAAGGCCTGGAGAAGGAAGAGAGGGGCCTACACAGCTTCCCAGCTGCTGACGGTAGGACACATAAACTCTAGTGCCCTTTCCCGGGGCCGCGCCTTGTGAGTGCGTGCGTGCGCGAGAATGCGTGCGTGCGTGCGCGGGAATGCGTGCGTGCGCGAGAATGCGTGCGGGCGTGCGCGAGAATGCGTGCGTGCGTGCGCGTGTGCGTGAGTGCACGCCGCGGTGGGGAGAGCTGAACTATTGCTGCTTGCCACAGATTGAATTGTGTCTCCCTCCCACACCAATTCGTAGGTTAAAGTTACAGCCCCTGATGGGAGGGTATTTGAATATAGGGCATTTGGGGAGTAATTAGATTTAGATGAAGTCATGAGGGTGAGGCCCTCGTGATGGGATTGGTACCCTCATAGGAAGAGCCACGAGAGACCTTGCTTTCCCCTCTCTCTGCCATGTGAGGACAGCAAGAAGACAGCATCTGCAGCCGGGAAGAGATCTCTAACCGGGACCCCAATCGGCCCACACCTTGATTTTGGACTTCCCAGCCTTCAAAACGTGAGAAAATAAATTTCTGTTAAGTCACCCAGTCTGTGGTATTTGTTATGGTGGCGCACCCTAACATACTGTTTAAGTCAATTTGTTTATGATTCCCTATGAGTTGGGAAAATGGTGATACACAGATGTTTTAAACTGCTAGTGAAGATTAGCCTAAAAAAGCCTGAAACTCCAAAGCCAAAAGCTTAGTCAACTAGAGTAAAATATTTGGACTCATTTTTATTAGTATTTTTTTAGTGTTGCTACTTTTTTCTTATTTCTTCCCCATTTTCTTTATGTAGTATTTTATAGATGTTTAAACTAGGTAAACCATACATGCTATTTCAACTTCAATCTCTATCGGTTTTATCCTATAGTTCAAATCAGGAAAGAATAGACTGATAATCATTTCAAAGAGGGTCTTTTTAAAAGGCATACATCCAGTCATTATATAGACTATTTTCAATTCTTGCTAACCAAAAAAAAAAAAAAAAAAAAAAAAAAAAAATTTGAATGTGGAACATTCTTTTTAGCTCCTCCTTTTGGTTAACACTTCCTGTTAAATTATAATATTACAATTTTTCATTCTTACGAATTTTCTATAATGTTTCTGTTTTGTTTGCTTCGTGATTGAGAAGGAAGTTACTCACGTAGAACCATGTTTCTGGCTCCTTGTGGCATGGAGTTTTCTTCTCCATGTTGACTGTTTTGCCTCATTAGGCATGCTGTTGTAAAGGAATTGTTGGACGTAATTCATACCAGGAAATAGTTCTCTTATGTGGCCGCTGTATGTTGCAGGGAGGTAGGAGTGGAGAGATCTGCCTGGCTGTAAGTTTTCCTTTAGAATGTGTGAAGAGCCCTCAGGTGCTGTTGAAAGTGAAGGATAGGACTACTCTCAGGAAAACAAAGGTTTTATTACATTTTCTCATGTAATGAGGATATCCAGAGGCGGGGGGGGGGGGGGGGGGGGGCAGTAAAAGTCGCACATGTAGTGCCATGTGCCAACAAGAGAAGTGACTGACCAAACAGAAAAAAGTCCCCAGTGGGTCTCCGCTAGCCTATGTTTATTTCCTTATGCAGCTTTTGGATCTTTCAGAGAGGAAATCAAACACCCTGACTCACACCAAACAAGTACATGTCCCTGGAGTCTGTGTGTGTCCCCCCCTGTGAATCCGACTATTTTCAAATAAACAGAGTAGGCTGTAACGGTAGGAAATTAAACCTTGACTGGCCAAATATCACTGGAGATTATGGCAGTTATGTGAGTTCAATATGGATATCTATTTGGTGTGATTCAGTAGGGATCTAAGAGTTGATACCAAAACAGATGCTCCTAAATTCTTGGGTATTTTTATTACGTGAAAAAGTCTGATAGACTTAAGATAAACTATCATGCTAGTAGGACAGTCAACAGCATCTGTGTTCCTCTGGCATGGCAAGCTAATGGAGTTGCCAGGGATGGAGGTGAAGAAAAGTCTTGGCTCCTATATTTTCCAGAATATGGAAGCAGCAGGATTTCTGAAGATGCCAGGTTAAACATTTGGGTATACCTTACATGTCTGAGAAAATAAGGAGCACATTCAGGATTCTACTGGATGGGTTCTATGAACTCAGCTCCATAAATAAAGATCTTTCATTTTATTAGCCACCCTTCACTCCTACGCTGGGATGAAGATGAATTTTTTAAACTTTTTTTATTTTTCAATTCTACCAGAGTGCCCAAGATACTTTGGGCACTCAATGAGAAGTCTGATGGGTGGCGTGCCTACTTGTATTTGTTCTAACTGGCTTCAGTAGCAATTACGTCGAAATAAGTGTGGATGAGATGACAATTCTAATCTAATTTAACTGGACACGCACCAAATCCAACTTCTCGGTTCTCAGTGTAAAAAAGCAACTTGTGACTGCTATGACAAAATGCAGCTTGTTCTCCTGACCACTTGATTGTTTTCTCTAAAAGAAGATTCATTCTTGGGACACCTGGGTGGCACAGTTGGTTAAGCACCTGTCTCTGGCTCAGGTCATGATCCTTATCCCTCTCCCTGCTGCTCCCCCCCGCTTGTGCTCTCTCTCTCTGACAAATAAATAAATAAAACCTTAAAAAAAAAGAATATTAATTCTCAATGAAATATAATAGGAGGTGGGCTCTTTCTAGTTCCCTGCGCTTTGGCTGAGACCGCAGAGGTGGTGTATACACTTACATAGTTAACTAAGGGCAGTTCTCAGATTGAAACATGGATGCAGACATTCTCAATCAAGTCCCCAAGCTATGGAACACCATCAGTTACTTTTTTGTATACACTTGTCCTACTTTACTTAAGAAAGCACAGCCTTTAAGCTCTGGATCTCAACTGTTTCTAGAAAAGTGCTGTTTTATTCTAATATCCCGTGTAAATCTGGATGTTCTTTTTATGTGTAATTCTGGAATGGTTTAGGTAGGAGAGCCCTTGGTCTTTCACTTGAGTGCCATGCCTTACTGTCTCTGAAGGTTATGGGTCTCTATCAGGATAAACAGGCATTTGAGTCATGGTGGCGGGCAGGATATTTAAAGTTCCTTTCCATGGGAGTCACTTTGAATTTGAAGTCTAACCTGAAATGTCTTCACTGGTGCCCAGCACCATGACAGTTTCTGTGTAACAGCAGGAAACCCGCAGGAGACAGCAATGATGGGCGATATCATTTCGATGCTTGGTGACCACATCATTCAGTGTCCCTGTTCGCATTATGAAGAAGACACTGGAAGATGCACAGCATCTATGTGCCCTTCCTTAGGTAGAAAAAAAACCTGAGAAAATGACTGATAGAACAGTTTTAGAAATAGAGTCTGGGGCTATGTCTGGACAGTAAAAGGAGCAGGTAAGGAGGCTTATATTTCAAGATTCGGGAGACAGTTTGGAATGATCAATATGAGCAGCAAGAGGCGCTTACATAGAGAAGCGACATTCTAGATTTTTTGTTCCAGGGTCAAGCTAAATCTTTTATCAGATAGAGAGAAGCTAGGTCCCACACAAGAACAGATCCCAGGGGGGTAAGTGAAATCTGCATCAGGGAGCTGAATAGGCATCCATGTGTACCAAGAAAAACAGGGTAAAAGTAAGCAAGGGTGGCTCTGAGAAACTTGTCAGAGGGTGAGCTGCTTTGCCGATTACTTTTGTTGGTGGGAGATGCTCCCATAGTGAGGTGAGCAGACCACTCTGATGTAACGACTTTTCACATTCATTTTGATACAGTTATTTTGCCTGAGAAAAAATTTCATAACGTAGCTTTGGTGAAGCCACATCAAAATGACTCTGAAAATATGAAAATTCCAGCTTTTTATTAGCAAAAGGTATCCCTTCTATTTATTCTATCCCTATTCCATGCTTTACTTACAAGACAATTTTTACTTCCTCCTTTCCTAATTGTTTCATTTTTAAGCTTTTTATAGCCACGTTTTACCTGTCTTTCAAATCTCCAACATGTTTTATGTTGTAGAAGTAAGATGTGCTTCTGGAGGCAAATAAATAAACACAAAAATATATATATATTACTTTATAATAAAGAAGTGAAAATTCTCTGATCCTCTCCATTCCCACCTCCTAGACTTAACCACCATTAATAATTTACTACAAACATCCCAAGGAGAGTCAGGAAACATTTCTTGTACAGCAGTGAAAAAGTTTTCTTTAAGTCCTCAGGAGATAACCCACTAGTCAAGTCTTTAGTAAGATGCTCTGCTGCAGCAGTATGTACAAATAATTAAAATTTGATTGAAATTTTGGCTGAGGCACTAAGATAAAAGGTTTATGAGAATTAAAGATGGAGAGGAAGATTTTGAGAGGGGGCTACTTGGGTGCTGTTAACTCTCCTAACCCACAGTGGGCAGGATGGAGATGTTTGCCCCTTCCTACTCAGTCAGTAGAGAAGAGCTTTGAAAAAACCATTTGAGTTTCAGCCATCTGCTGGTCATGGCAGACCAGGTAGGGTCTGACCCGTGCCTGAGCAAGCCAGTGGGTGAGGGATCAAGTCTGATAAATTGGATGAAGATGTCCTAGATGACTTGGGTTAGTATATGCAATTGCTTTTCAAGATGATATGAAAAGTAATGAATAATACCACATTCTTGATTTAGAAATTAAATACAGAAGCTGCATTTTATTTACTTTTTAAATTAAATTTTATTTATTTATTTATTTAGTTTTGCTTTTCTACTACCAGGTATCTTATCTTTTGACTATTTCTCTGAGGTAATAGGGAAAACTCTTAATAGGGGAAAAACCTATGTGGTTTTAAAAATTCACTTTCAAAAGGAATTTTTGATCTGTGAAACTTAACACTTTTAGTTTTGTTTGAAAATGTAACATTTATGTTCCAGAATAAGGGGAAATAAAAATGTATGTACACACCAGTACGCTCTTAAATAATTTTAAATAGAATGCCATTTCATATCATATACATTTTCTTTTCCACAAAATTTACAAATTTAGTTTGAAGAAAAAATATGTTGAGACTACATTATAAGTCATTGAATTGAACATTTAAAATAGGCAAATTTTACTGTATATAATTTATACTTTAATAAAGCTGTTTTAAAAATGCATTCCCTGGAAAAAAATCTGTTAAAAGTTATTAGAGTGGAATAATGTGAGTTCCTGAAGCATAATTCAGAAGTGCTATTAAATGTGTGCTCATGATATTCATATGTGAAAACCTTGATAATCAAATCTACAAAATATAAAATTTTCTCTTGCTTTGGGTCTACACTAATCATTTATGTTTGCTGTCTTTTATGTTTACTTTCCCACTGATTTGACATCGAATCTTAGCACATTACATTTAGAAACTGAGCAATCGTTTTTAAAAATATACGTTCTGTGCTTGCCAGATGGATTTGGAAGCTCTCCCAGTAATGCTTTCATTGTCATAACCCACTTCACAGTTCCATCATGAATGAGGTCATTAGGGAATGACATCATTTTCAATACCTCCCAGATTGCAAAATTTAAAAAAAATACAATAACCCTTGTATTTATTTGTTTCTC